ATTGCTGTAAAACTTTTTAAGTACCTTTGTTGCAGTACTGATTTTAAAGTTATTAATTGATTGATTTAAGCATTGGCTATTAATCTTTAGCCATTTTATCATGGTTAGAGAATATGGGCTTTATAATTTGATTTCTTGGAGTTCCTCTGTACATCAATGTATGTATTTAATTGCATACCTTTTTAGAAGAAATAAATACTTTTAATTTGGTATAATTTTTCTGTGTGTCTATTTGTCAGTTATATTTTTTAGGCGTCTATCCCTCTCCCTCCCAAATCCCATCCCTTTACCTACCCTGTCTTCTACTACATTTTCATCAACTCCTTATTCCTAGTAACCCTGATAATTGTAAAGTTAAAATCTGTATTGGGCATAAAAATTTATGACTGTTACATCTTCACCATACCTTTTATCTCCTTACCTATCTACCTAGTATAAAACCCCTTTTTCCTATTGAATTCTTTTTAAAAAAAATTGACCAGTCATTGGGGGCATTAGCTGTATTTATTAGGTATGGGCCCAGTTGAATAGCTATTTGGCAGTTTGCAGGATAGTTTTGAACAAGAAAAATTGTTCCATGGTCTGCATAGCTTACAATATACTGCCAAATGTTCATGATACTGGAAAAAGAAACTTTATTTTCTAAGCCTAAAAACTGTTCACTTACAAAGGGTTTTTTTGGGGGTGGGGGGGTGTGGAGGCCACAACTTTAATGTATGTACAGAAGGCTACTGTGTAAATCAAGGGAAAGTTATACTTTGAAATGTTGGGATTTTTTACAAAGAATTCTTTACAACTTTGCAAAATCACATCACCACTGCAGTGGTGCTAAATGGGTTTTAAGTTGCTGGTACGATATACCCATGTGAGTCTACATTTAAAACTGAACCTTTCATGTTGAGTACTCTGCATACTTTGTCATCATGCCTTGACTACTTACATTTAGTCATCGTGTTTTCAAATAGCCCTGCCCTGCCCCTTCCCAGGACTGCATCCATACTTACATTAGAACACTTGATGTTATTCCACAGGTCAGGTCTTGGTTACTTTTTCTCCCTCTCTTTGCTTTATTTTGTTTTGATTATAGGGTAATTCTTCAAGTTCTTGATACTTTCTACTACAGTATTAAATCTGTTAGTCCTGTTCAATGTATCTTTGATTTCAAATAGTGTGTTTTTTTAAATTTTTAGTCACAATTTTGCCTTTCATCTTTTATTTCTTATGTCGATGATTGATTCTTTGTTCTTTATCGTTTTTTTTTTTTTTTTTTTTCGAGACATAGTCTTACTCTGTTGCCCAGGCTGGAGTGCAGTGGTACAATCTCGGCTCACTGCAGCCTTCACCTTCTGGGTTCAAGTGATCCTCCCACATTCAAGCCATCCTCCCACCTCAGCCTCCTGAGTACCTGGGACTGCGGGAGTACACCACTGCACCTGGCTAATTTTTTTGTATTTTTGCTAGAGACAGGGTTTCACCACATTGACCAGGCTGCTCTTGAACTCCTGACCTCAAGTGATCCACCTGCTTTAACCTCCCAAAGTGTTATTGCAGGCGTGAGCCAGGGTGCCTGGCCCATGATTTATTCTTGATCATATGGAGCATATTTACAAAAGCTGTTTTTGGTCTGTGGCTGCTAGGACCTTAATTCTATCATTTTCGTCGCTTCTAGATCTGTTTACACTGGTTTATTTTTCTTCTGATTATGGGTTCTATTTTCCTGCTTGATTATATTCCTGGTAATTTCATATTGGAAACCAGGCAGTGTGAATTTACATCATCAAGTGTTGGATTTTGTTCTAGCACATAGTTAAGTTACTTGGGATAGATTTGATCATTTCCAAGGATCAAATGTTTGTTTTAAAACTTTGTCAGGACAAGTTTAGTCTTTAGTGTTGATTTAGCCTGATTACCAAGGTGTCATCCTCCTGAGAACTCTACCTGTTGGTGGGGGTTTCTCTCCTTTGGCTGGTGGGGACCCTAATTTTTCAGAGCCCTCATATGTCACTTCATATATGTCCAGATCAGTTTTCAGCCAGATTCTAAGTGAGCCACCCGTAGATACATTTTTTGGGGTACTTTGCTTTATGTTGTAGCTGCTTTAATTTTCTGCTCTCTGGATTCTTTGTAACTCACCATGCTGTCTTTGTCCTTCCCATCAGTAAGGAAGAGCTACTAAAGGGATCACTTTCTTTTCCTTCTCTAAGAGTTAACAGTTCTCTACCCCACACTGTCTGTTGTCCAAAAAACAGTTGTTTCATATATTATTTTCAGTTTTCTAGTCTTTCACAGCAGAATAATAAATTCAGATTATCTTAACTTCCTCATGGTCAGAAATGAGATTCATGCCATTTAATTTTTTTTGTTTTTTGTCTTTTACTTTAACCTCTTGAAAATAGTAGTAGTAAAAATTACACATTTTTATTGGGTACTTTTTCTGAATACCTTTGTTTATATAGTTTCATTGTTCTTTGTTAATCTTTGTCTTTTTACTGAAATATAACAAAAAGTAGAGGAGACTGATTACCTGGTAGAGCTTTTGGGGGAAGTCAAATGTCATTTGTAGAAAGATAAGATTTATTATAGTCAACTTGATAAGACCATTTTCTTCCAGGTGTGAACATTTAATTTTGTATTAGAATACTACACTGGCAACCCTGTTTGTTTGCAGATACTTGCTCTTTACACAAATGCAGCCCTTTGTGACAGTAATTGGAATGTAGAATTTTAAGAAATTCATGGAATTTTTGTGAACCTCATGGTTATCTTAAGATTGATGCTATTTTGTGTTGCATGAAATAGATAGATCTGGATTTTCAGAGTTGTTTATTTGCTACAGCAATGTTTAGAATGTTTTACCCTTTTAAATTATTACTGTTTCACTGTCAAGCCTAATTATATTGAGGGAAATATCAGCATCGGGTTTGTCAGCATCTGAGGAATAGAACCTAGGTCAGCTGTTTAAAGTGGCGCTTTCAGGAATCTATAAATCAGATGGTTAAAAAAAAACAGGCCAGGCACGGTGGTTCACGTCTGTAAACCTAACACTTTGGAAGGCAGAGTCGCGAGAATCTCATGAGGCCAGGAGGTCAAGAGCAGCCTGGCCAACATAGTGAAACCCTGTCTCTACTAAAAAATTAGCTGGGTGTAGTGGTGCACACCTATACTCCCAACTGGTCGGGAGGCTGAGGCATGGAGACTTGCTTCAGCCAGGGAGCCAGAGGTTGCAGTGAGCTGAGATTATGCCACTGCACTCCAGCCTGAGTGACAGAGCAAGACTCTGTCTGGGGGGAAAAAAAAGAAAAGATACAAATTGATACCAAAATACCTTTAAAAAAGGAAAAAAAAATACTTAAGCAGTTCCTCTCGGTTGTTTCCTCCCCTCCTTTATTTTTATTTTTTGAAAACACGGCTTTTGCCTGGTCAACATGGTGGAACCCCGTCTCTACTAAAGACAGAAAAATTAACTGGGCTTGGTGGTGGGTGATTGTAATCCAAGCTATTCGGGAGGCTGAGGCAGGAGAATCTCTTAAATCCAGGAGGTGGAAGTTGCTGTGAGCCAAGATCATGCCACTGCACTCCAGCCTGGGCAACAGAGCAAGACTCCATTTCAAAAAAGAGGGGGAAGGCCTATTTACATATTGACTTGGTCTTTATGTCTTGTAATTCATGCTGTAGTAGTTGTTGTTTATTTTGCCTTAGGATACTCCTTTGGTTTTTCTTAAACGTTTACTGAATCCTTTACTGATTAATGCTTCATCTGTAGGGATTGCAATGCTTTCTCTTATCAGCCATGTTAGGAGGTAGAATTTAGAATGTGTAACACCCAGTGCCTTGAATGTAGCAGATGCCGAATAAATATTTAAAAGTTTTGTTGTAGGGACAGGCAGTAACTGTAATGTGATCATTAATAAGTAGTATAAAGTTGATGTTTGGCTCTAAATATTTTACTGAACACAGACATTTTGACAGTGAAAAAGAGGCAATAAACTGCATAGTTATACATTATCCAGAGATTTATAGAATTCTGTGTTGCCACCTTATCTGTATGGTGCTAAATTTGAATCCTGGCTCTGACAGCTGATCGCTGTGTGATTTTTCTCAGGCGGGTTGATCTCTCAGGGGTTTCTCTATACCTTGAAAATGATATGCATGTTACAGTGATGTTATAAAGATTAACAGCAAATAAATGCCTACTTGGTGCAGTGTTTGGCACATTTTGGTTGTAACATCTGTATATGCTTTGACATTAGTTTGAAATGACTTTGTGTTATTTTAATGCCGGTATTCAGTTATAATATAAAGCAGTTTCACAAACATTTTCTGCAAAGGGCCAGATAGTAAATATTTTCAGTCTGTGCCGTCTATTCACCTTATAGGCATAGCTGTGTTCCAGTAAAGCATTATTTATAAAAACAGGTGGTGGACCACAGTTTTCCAACTTTGTGTTTGTTTTTTTGTTTTTTTTTTTTTTTTTTGGTTGCTATTTTCATTTGGCACCTTTGACACAATGTTGTCTTACCTATTGAGTATTTCAAATACCTTCAGCCTTATTAAAAAATTATATAGGTGGCCAGGTGCGGTGGCTGACGCCTATAATCACAGCACTTTGGGAGGCTGAGGCGGTCAAATCACCTGAGGTCAGGAGTTCGTGGCCACCTTGGCCAACATGGCGAAACCCCGTCTTTAGTAAAAATACAAAAATTAGCCAGACATGGTGGTGGGTGCCTGTAATCTCAGCTACTCAGAAGGCTGAGGCAGGAGAATTGATTGAATCCAAGAGGCAGATGATATTGTAAGCCGAGATCGGGCCACTGCAGTCCAGCCAGGGGTAACACAGCTAGACTCTGTCTCAAAAAAACAAAAACAAAATTATATAGGTAATACAGTTACAACCCTCTTTGCACTAATTTTGATTGGTTTCTTTCAAGTCATTTATTTGAGACATAATCCTCAAATGGAATTATGAAACCAAAGAGTAACTTCACAAAGTGCCTCACAACAGAAGAGCTGAGGTATTTAGAGAATGCCAAGACTAGTAATAATTTAGTCATTTGATGGATAGTGATTATTAATTATACCCATTTATATATACAATTTATTAATTTCCCCTTGCTGATTTTTATCCTGAGAGTTACATTTTTGAACCTTTGGCTGTCTGTGTCCTATTCTGTTTATTATAGTACGCAAGAAACAGAAGATAGGTGACAAGAAAGGAACAGCCTTATGAAGTAAAAATGGACCAATGACACTGTTGTCATCCCCACTACCAGCTGCTCGTCCACTCACAAAAGAAAGCAATTATTTCACCTTCTAAGAGTAAAACCTGCCTGGGTGCTGACAGTTTAGAAAGAGCGGGTGGGAAGAGTCAAGAATTTCATTCTGTATAATAAATTATAAATCCCTTGCTTTGTATTAATAGTATATAAATTTAAGAACATTGCAGTACTTTTTAAACAAAAGATTCTGTTATGCCTTTTAAATACTGTATTTTTGTTGAACAATTTGGAAATCAGTATTTTTCTAAAATTGCTGAGTTGACTTAAAGGTTAGTAGGGGAGTGGACTCATGTTCTGAAAGGAGGTCGTCCCTTTTCAGTAACTGTATTAGAATGTTCCTTTTAAGATTAATTAATACAGACTTATATCCTTGTAAAATAACATTGTAATTGGTCATAGGACAGATTATTTTCCTTTTAAAGGAGTTCTTCTTTGGCATTTTGTTGGTGGTGGTTTGTGAGGATATAACTCAACTGATATGCTGTACTAAGCCATGCATAAATTTGGTAGGATACCTCTGACAGTGATGTCAATTTTTGCTTTTAAAAAACATGATAGTTATTCTGATATCAAGAGTAGAGCATTTGCAAGTATTCATAGCTTTCATTAATTGTTTTAAAACTAGTATCCAAGGAATCTAAAATTTTATGGCACACTTATATTTTCAGCCTGCTCCTCTGGGGGCAGTCTGTATTTGTATAAGACGGTTGTGTCCCACACCTAGAGTGCATTGTTTAAAGGTGCAGAATTCTCTTAGTTCCAGCATTCTTGTGTTTGCCGTGAATGTCAATATCCACTCTGTAATGTTTTAGACCTATGCTGTCCAGTTCTGGTAGTCACTAGCTACATATGGGCATCAGAACATGAGAAGAATATTTTCTAGGGTAGATTATTTTCTGCAAACCTGGATACCAGTATTTGGCCAGCCTTGTTTGGGTATAGCATGAAATGGTCTCCTTGTTTTCAGGACTTTGCTTCCTCACTTTTTGCATGTCCTGGCATTCCTAAAAAGCAGTGATGTTTGTATGGCACACTAGGATACACAGTGTGGAGGGTGCTTACAACTAGATCTTACAGATGTGGGTGCTCTGCAGCACCAGACAAGCCCATGCTTCATTCTTGGCACGCCAGTATGCAGTGGCACATACGGCACAAAGCTGCTTCAGAGTGCTCTCCATGATTCATTCCTGAATGTTTTTCTTGGTCTATGAGCAGAATTTGAATTCATTCTCCCTTATTATTCATCATTTTAATATGTCATATTCCCAGTGAGACTTTGTAAGACCTTGGCATTTCACAACTTAGAAAACTTTCAAAGAATCACCCCTAAACTTAGAGATTTAGTGAGTAATTGTGTAGATGGTCTTTCTTCTTTTTTGTTTTAGGGACAAAGGAGGAAGAAGGAACACCATGACATAGCGATAGATTTAAATTCTGTTTCACAAACCAGGAAAATAGTTTTCCTAGTAGAAATATGGTTACATTAAATAAATGTGGTGTAAAAATCTCAACAAGGAGACCACGAATCTGCCCATCTACCTCCCCCAAATGAAATTCCTCTACACTATTCAGATGAACAGTGACTTAGTTGGCAGTTTCTAAAACTTTCTGTTTATTGGCTTTTGGCAAGATAAATAGTAACAAACACCAGTGTCTTAAGAAAATCTATAAATTGGTAATCCATTCACCCAATATGTATCTCCCTCAAGGATTTTACAGCGAGTTGATTTTGTGGTGTAAATCTTTGGTTCTTGTCCTTTCCTGATGTCTAGCCACTTGCTATTTGGGTCAGTTTTTTCTAGGATTCCTCAGCCTACCCCTGGGTGCCTCTTAAAATTCTTTATCCTTGCTACAAAACGAGTTCACTATTAAACACGTACCATATCACTTTAAATAGTTCATTATAAAATAATTGCTCCTGCCATAAGAAATGATACAATATTGGAGCAAATATCTTGTTTCTGTTAGATCTTGCAATAAAGTCTTTTTCTTCTCCCTACACACCTCTCACTTTGCTCTTCCATTCACACGTTCAGTGATTACATTATAACCAGTTGTGTGAGGCCATCTCAGTTTGGAAGATTGTACCTACTGCTTTAACACTTGATTCTTGTTCTGTCTTCTCATAATAAAATAGATATGGGCTGGGTGTTTTGGTTCGTGCCTGTTCAACGCAGGAGTATCGCTTGACTCCCAAGAGTTCGAGACCAGCCTGGGCAACATAGCAACACCCAGTATGTACAAAAATAAAAATAAATTAGTCAGGCATGGTGGTCTGCACCTGTAGTCCCAGCTACTCAGGGAGCTGACATGGGAAGATTGCTTGAACCTGGGAGGTCAAGGCTGCTGCAGTGAGGTATGCTTGCTCTACTGCACTCCAGCCTGGGCCACAAAGCAAGACCCCATCTCAAAAAATAATAAATTGGCATGGAATGTGCCTACCCCTCAGTCCCAAATCTCAGTTGTTTTACTGTAATGCTGTTCTTACTGACTTAATCACCTCTAGGTTTTCTGTGTTCAGTTCACTTAAGGAATATTAGGGTTTCTTTATTAGAAATTGAGCCCACCTAGGTGTGGTGGCGCTTCCTTGTAATCCCAGCAATTTGGAAGACTGAGGTGGGAGGATCACTGGCGGCCACGAGCTTGAGACCAGCCTGGGCAACATAGTGAGAGCCTGTCTCTACAAAATTTTTATTTTATTTTATTTTATTTTTTACTGGTAATAGAATTTATTCAAATGTGCCTTAATATAGGCGCTGGGGCTTGCCCGTGGTGCTCTTGATATATAAGGCCCGGACATTCTGCCAGTTTTTCTTGAGCAGTGACACCAAGAAATTGACAGCCAGGTGAATGTTATACACAAGCTCATCGTCTGTCATCTTCACGTGACCAACACGTGAAAATTATCCAGGCATGGTGGTGCATGCCTATAGCACCAGATATTCAAGAGACTGAGATGGGAGGATCCCTTGAGCCCAGGAGTTTGGCATGGTCGCACCACTGCACTCCAGCCTGGTCAGAGGGTTTTTTGTTTTTTTTGTGTGTGTTTTTTGAGACAGTCTTTTTTTTTGAGACAGTCTTTAAAAAAAAAAAGCCCATCCTACACCAAACCTGTCCATCTAACTTTACTGCTTAGCAGAGAGCACAGTCAGACGAATTATGCCATGATCATTGATGTATCCCTTACTAAGTGTAAACTGTAACAGCTCATCTACCTAACGAGGAGTTGTAATTAATTTAGGTGAATGGAATGACTTGGAACTGCGAAAGAGAAAATAAGTAACGGGCACCTCAGCCCATTATTCCACTGAGTTGAACAGGAGATTGAGTCTGGTATTGGTTTCAGATGTGAGCGTTTCACCACGCTGAGAGCATATTCTAGAGTTCAAAGATAGGTATTTTTGTTGCAGCGTGACTTTGTATTAACTAGTTCATTTGGTGGTTAGGCAAAAAAGCAAATTATCAATCCTGTAAGGAATATTGTCTGAGTTGGACTTAGGAGAAAGAATTTGTGTCTTCACAGTGATGTCTGTGTGAGGGATTTGAATTTAAAGATAATTTTGACTGTTATGTTTACCTTGTTATTTGATTTTAGAGCCTAACCTTCAAATAAAATTTGACAATTTTTTTTCTCTGCTACTCTTTGCTCCTACTTCTCTCCCCAGTAATGGTCTAATGTGCTTCAAGCGTGGGGACTTTGTATGTTTTTAATCCTTTATTCACTGCAGAAGTCAGTAGTACAGTACAGAACTCCTAATCAAACGACTTCTCAGTACTTAGTGTTTGACTTTCCATGGTTGCCCAGTATATTAAGTTGTATGCCTTTTGTGTTACTTATGTAAGCAGTGAACACATCAAGTTTATTTTTTCCTTCTGGTAACCACTGTGGTGTAGCCAGGATTTTTTTTTTAAACCTGGCAGTGAGGTGTTGTCCGAACAGTCTGAGATAATGTGCACATTTTTATGAGCACTTAAATATATGCTGTTTTGTGGGAGAGCTTGTGTAACTTTCGGTAAATTCTGATGGAGTTCAAAAAGATTAAATGCCTTGGACATAGACGATGGAGGAGGCAAATAAATCTTTTCAAAATCTAGACTTTAAAAAATTGCTAAAAGAAAATTATGAAATGCAGTGCTGATAGGTAAATTTAAGTTTCTATATCGTCAGATTCTTAAATTCTTAACAGTGAGCTACTGTACACCAGAAGAAGGCTGTTGTCTTACAAAGCTGACATTTAAAATGCATGTTGATGGGGCTTTTCTAATTCAGCTTAATACTTTATAGTGAAGAACTTGTTAATAACACAGTGATGAATTGTACAGTGTACTTGCTCTATCTGATGCCCATTTCTGTAATTTAGAATTTTTTCCTTAAGAAAAGGGCTCTGGTGTGAAAAAAAAAAACAAGAAAAAACCTGGCAGTTTGCTTTGGTTGTGACTGTGCAGTCATCACTGAGCTGGTAGAATCCAGGTGTCATGACTGGTTCTAGTGGCCCTGCGGTGTAGGGAGCTGGAGGAGCCGTGTGCATTGAAGACACATGGCGCAAAGCATTTCTGGTATGAAAAATTGCAATCTATTTGCAGACATTTGCTTGAAGCTGTGATTTGAATTTATGATGTAAAATTCCATCTGAAAGTATTTTTACGTTTAAAATCCCCCCCCCCGGGTTAATAATATGTGCCTTTATTATAGGTGATTATTTGTGTTTACATAAACAAGCTTATCAAATGTATATAAGTAAATAGCAAGATAATGTTTAAGGATACTATCAGATGTTTCACAAATTGTTGATTTCCTTGTATTCACAAATTTAGTGAAATATTAATAAACTAATATTTGTTGTATTCTCTGTTAAAATAGTTTCATACTGTTTTATTCTGAGGATAATTTTTGTTAGTGGATCAAAATATTTATGAAAGAACTTTAGATTCACATTATTTCTGATGGGTGGTTGATGTACTTCAGAGATATACTTCATAGACTTGGAATGTTTAGGAAGAACATGCTAAGTTCTGAAACTAGTGAGTTGGGAAAGAAAAACTAATGTCTTTTTTTGTTTTGTCTTAATTATACAGCAGATATAATTTCTACAGTAGAATTTAATCATTCTGGAGAATTACTAGCAACAGGAGATAAGGGTGGTAGAGTCGTCATCTTTCAACAGGAGCAGGAGGTAAGTGTTTAAAGTTTAATATATAAATTTCAGTTTGATATTAGGACTAGAGCTTGTGTTGCACTGGAGAATCTCATCAGAGGATGTTGGAATTTTTAAAGAAGTGTGTTATTGAATACAATGTCCAGTATATAGACAGCTCTGGTTCTCTTAGCTTTGTATGTGTGCATGTGTGTACATGTGCGTTATGTTGTTTTGGTTTAAAAAATAACGCTAATTGTAAAAAGATTAGAGAAGGGAGTGGAAAGTGGTGGAATAATCCAAGATTTTAATGGTTTTGAAGCCTTGGCCCTTCGTTATAATTTTTCTCTTAAAAACTCTGTAAAGCAAAGCTGCTTTGACTTCTTCTCAATGCTTGGTTTGCTTTGTACAATTGAGGGGTGAGAGGCTAGTTTAAACAAAAAACAGCTCAATTATTTTGATGTCATTTCACAGTAATACTGTTACGGTGATTCAGATATAAAGGTTTAAATGACGATTGCATGTACATGCATGTAAAGCAACTTAAAAGTGCAGTGCTGGCTTTTTGATGAAAGAGAAACAGAATCTGTAATTAAAGTGGGCTTTTGTTTTTTTCTTACGACTTAGGCACACTTCTAAATTTAATTGACCAGATTTCTCACTAAAATTTTTTTGCTAAACAAAATTTGTCACACTCGGTTTTTGCTTATTCATTCTCTCTCCTTCCATTGGTAGATCAGAGTTTAACCATTAAAATCAGTTGTTTTGAAACATTCTGCCCCTATTTATAATATATTTAAAAAGAGTTTAAAGTAATGTGGATAAATGGCAGGGTTTTACCTGTCTAAATCATAACACAGAGTTAGGTTTTAAAGGATTGTGAAATTCCTTAAATAAGCAAAGAATCTAGTAATAATACTACTACTTTGCACTTCTATAGCGCCTTTGACCTGAGGATCTCAAAGTGCTTTACAAACACTAATGAATTAATCCTCACAACACCCCAGTGAGGTAGGTAATTTAATTTTAAAAGAAATGATTAATAGTGTCTGATTAGAAGATGCACAAACACTAAATATGTCTCCTTTTATTTATTTTTTTGTTGGAAGAAAATATGAGAATAACACTCAAGCTTTGCTTGACAAAGAATGGTCTCGTGGGAAGGGGGGCTAAATCAGTTTTCCATTTTTAAGTAGGCAAAAACTTGATCATAAGAATCTTAACATACTTAGAGTTCACATGGAACCTTACAATTTCCCTTTATTTAGTAATGGGGAAGTCAGTAGATCACTATATTACTTACTGGCAGAACTAACAAGCAGAAACCAGAACTTCTGACATGTTTTTCAGTATTTGCTGTTTTTCATGCCAGATAACCAAAATGTGAATGTTTTTATCTAGAGTTTAGAGCAGATCTTCCCATAGAACAAATGTTCTCTGCCCTTGTATTTTTTTTTTACTGAAAGTTAATGACTCTCTACAGTTTACTTTTATTATAAAGTGTTTGAGAAGAACTTGTAAAAATTGATTTTGCTCTAGACTTAACATTCTGAGGGTTTCAGAAAGTCTTCATTTTTAATGAGGGCATTGTCTCATTGTCAATTCTATTATACAGGTTTGTCAATTAAAAGCTAAGTTGGAATACTTTACCTGAGAATGAAGCCATTTTCATCTTCTGTGGTGGTTTATTATCCACATCAAAATCAGGTGTGGAAAAAATGGCTGGAAATTTTTTTTAATTGGGGGAAATGTTTGCTTTATGGGTTTAGTAATGTAGTCAGAGTGTTAGTATTTAGTATTTTTCTAAAGGCTGTTAGTAATACATGAATTTGGAATTAAAGGTCTAACATGTAGTTACTGAAATTGCTCAAACATTTTACTTGTATTAGAAAATGTGACAAAATTATTTTAGAGTAATCATTTCCCACGATTCTTTTCTGAAATCCCACTGAAGATTCTAAAGTGCTAGTATTTTAAATACATACTCTTGTAAGAGACAAGCAGAATAACTTTTTGAGAGGGGTCACTGATGCGAAAAATAGGACTTCCTTTTCATGTGTCTCATTCTTCTTAACCATACTTAAGAATTCAAGACAGAGAGTTTTGTAGAAACTCAGATTAGTAACATGTCTTTTGAGAATTACTTAGTTGTGTAATATCAGTATGTTTGTAAGTGATAGATTAATTAGAGAGATGATGGCGATTGACTCTTTACTCCTGAAACTTGATCTTGTTACTATTAATTTGGTGTATTTTGCCTCATTAATTTTCTACATTTTAAAGCCCTGTCTTATATTAGAGCTTCTAATGTAATACTGTCTTCGGGATCTTGTCATTGATCATAAATACGTGTACTTTACAACCTTAGAGGCACCATTGTTTGAGTACCTAATGTAAGTGGAAAGTGAAAAGAAATCATCTTTTCCTAATTTGTAGATAAAATCCCAGAAAAAAAAAATTTAACAAGGTTCTATTGCTTCATTTAGTAGCAAAACTCAGATTAGGATATGAGTCTCTGATTTTTAGCTTAGTTATTATGTCTTCATCCCAGAGTACACTGGTACCTTTGTTTCTTAGACTCTGATAATGGTGCTAGCCTTGTTAGCAGAGTACACTGGCATTTGATCTATTGTGGCTTCATTCTCTTACCTAGTGGCAGGGTTCTTTCCTAAATTTAACTTAACTGGAGACCAAAATGTCTCCACCCACTCATTTTTATTGTCTTTACTTGGAAGAAGAAAAGATCATATAACAGCAACAGAGAACTTGGCACATCAGACTTTGCCACCTGTAACCCCTCGTGTCTCACTCATTTATTTTACCCTTCAGAAATGGTGAGTCTCCTTCCTGTGTTCCTGGCTGGTATCTGTGTCCTCTTGCTGCCTGTCCATTTATTCTCCAGTCATCACATAAACTGAGTAGTCGTTCAGAGGCTCTTCGTTTGGTTTGGGTATATTTCAGACTGATAATTGTTTAATATTTTTAGCTGTCATTTAATAGCTTTTTTTATAACTAGCATATTTGTATAGGTGTTCTGCTACACAGAATCTTTGTTGTAGAATCAGCACACCTAAAGTAATGGGCACAAAAGTAAAGTGATTTCTTTGATGTAATCACAGCCAATCACGTGGTCAGTAAGAGTCCAAAATTCTGATAACGAATCCAGTGTTCTTTATAGCATGACCTGCTATAAGTGACCCTTGTTATTGTTACAGCTTCTAGTAGCTTATGACAGCAAAGTAAATGCTAGGGTGTACTCTTTTTGTTAATGAAAATATTAATACAGGGCTTTTATGGGAGGAGTCCAGTCAGCTGTTACAATAAAGTGGATGGTGATGTTCTCCTGTTTTTAGGGATTTTTATTGTTTCCATAGGTGCTGAAATCAGGTGATCAGCAGTTGTCAAAATAGCTGGTTTCTTAACTGACATTAGTTTTGCTCAGATCTTCAGTTCCTGTGCTATACCCTGTAACGTAGTGTGGGCACATGGGGCGGGTTTAAAGGACAGCTAAGGTGTAAGGTGACAAGGGAGGTTGTACCTCTTTCCACTTCTTTTTATAAAATCTTTCTAGAGTGGTATGGGGCCTTTTGATTTTTGTTTTCTAGAGCTGCTGGTAACTTTCTTGGATTTCATTCCCTCTGGCTTTTTTTATTCTTAATGTGGTATTCCCAAAACTCTTTAACCGGATACAGAAGAAGCCTTAAAAAGCATGCTTTTCACAAAAGATGGATAGTATTGTTAATAGGATAGTATCTCTTTCTAAATTATATGGGGCTCAAAATCAACAAGTCTAACAGAATTTAATATAATTTATACAAAGGGATTGACTTAGTATGTTGTTTATTTAATTGAAGAAACATAATTTACTGTTTTAGATGATGTGGCAGCATTTACTTGATCTGCTGCTTACTGTGTGCCAATCAGATGTAGGCTGTACAGACAGAAGAAAATATGGTGGAGAGTCTTGATAACTAAGGGTTCATGTGGAAGAAGATACTCGTTTATTTTGTTCACAGAAGTAAATACACATAAGCTAGATGCTTATTTGTAAGCAATACAGCAAGAAGAATGCATGAGAAGCTAAAAATAAAAAAATGCCCGTAGAGTTTTTTCCAAATCAGTTTCTATCTATAAAATAAGTTCTTTTTCCCTAGGTTTTAACTGTCTTTATAAAGTATAAATTAAACAGTCTTTAGTTTTCGGAGTGTAAGATGTTTGCATGCATTTAAAATGCAGATTTCTGGGTTGGGTGCTGTGGCTGAAGAGCCTGTAATCCCAGTACTTTGGGAGGCTGAGATAGGTGGATCACTTGAGGCCAGGCTGGCCGATATGGTGGAAACCCTGTCTCTAATAAAAATACAAAAATTAGCTGAGCGTGGTGGTACATGCCTGTAATTCTAGCTATGTAGCTGAAGCATGAGAATTGCTTGAATCCAGGAGGCACAGGTTGCAGTGAGCCGCCATGGTCCCTTTGCACTCCAGACTAGGGGACAGAGTGAGACTCTGTCTCAAAAAATAACAATAATAAAATTTAAAAATGCAGGTTTCTATCCTGCTACTTATGATTACTGAATCAGAATACACGTGTGTGGTGCATTCATAGAATGTAAGAACTAAAATTTGTAGGGTTTTGTAGGGGTTCTTAACTTTTTTTGCTTCATGGATTCCTTCGATAGCCTGGCAAATCCTGTAGATTTCTCAGAATGTTGGTTTTTTTTTTTTGGAGATGGTGTCTCTGTCGCCCAGGCTGGAGTGCAGTGGCATGAGTTTGGCTCACTGCAGCCTCTGCCTCCCAGGTTGAAGCAATTCTACTAGCTAGGATTATAGGCACATGCCACCACGCCCAGCTAATTTCTGTGTTTTTAATGGAGATGGGGTTTCACCATGTTGGCAAGGATGGTCTCCATCCATCTCCTGACCTCATGATCTACCTGCCTCGGCCTCCCAAAGTGCTGGGATTACAGGCATGAGCCACTGTGCCAGGCCAGAATGTTTTAATTACATAAAATATTTAAAATTATGAAGGTTGAAATATTTTA